TGGTCTCAGACTGATCTTGTGTCCGGGTGGCTGGTCTCAGACGATCTTGTGTCCGGGTGGCTGGTCTCAGACGATCTTGTGTCCGGGTGGCTGGTCTCTGACATCTGTGTCCGGGTGGCTGGTCTCAGACGATCTTGTGTCCGGGTGGCTGGTCTCAGACGATCTCGTGTCCGGGTGGCTGGTCTCAGACGATCTCGTGTCCGGGTGGCTGGTCTCAGACGATCTCGTGTCCGGGTGGCTGGTCTCTGACGATCTTGTGTCCGGGTGGCTGGTCTCAGACGATCTTGTGTCCGGTGGCTGGTCTCAGACGATCTTGTGTCCGGGTGGCTGGTCTCTGACGATCTTGTGTCCGGGTGGCTGGTCTCAGACGATCTCGTGTCCGGGTGGCGGGTCTCAGACGATCTCGTGTCCGGGTGGCTGGTCTCAGACGATCTTGTGTCCGGGTGGCTGGTCTCAGACGATCTTGTGTCCGGGTGGCTGGTCTCAGACGATCTTGTGTCCGGGTGGCTGGTCTCTGACGATCTTGTGTCCGGGTGGCGGGTCTCAGACGATCTTGTGTCCGGGTGGCTGGTCCTAAGACGATCTTGTGTCCGGGTGGCTGGTCTCAGACGATCTTGTGTCCGGGTGGCTGGTCTCTGACGATCTCGTGTCCGGGTGGCTGGTCTCATATCGTGTCCGACGATCTTGTGTCCGGGTGGCGGGTCTCAGACGATCTCGTGTCCGGGTGGCTGGTCTCTGACGATCTCGTGTCTGGGGTGGCGGGTCTCAGACGATCTCGTGTCCGGGTGTCTGGTCTCTGACGATCTCGTGTCCGGGTGGCTGGTCTCAGACGATCTTGTGTCCGGGTGGCTGGTCTCTGACGATCTTGTGTCCGGGTGGCTGGTCTCAGACGATCTCGTGTCCGGGTGGCTGGTCTCAGACGATCTCGTGTCCGGGTGGCTGGTCTCTGACGATCTTGTGTCCGGGTGGCTGGTCTCAGACGATCTTGTGTCCGGGTGGCTGGTCTCAGACGATCTCGTGTCCGGGTGGCTGGTCTCTGACGATCTTGTGTCTGGGTGGCTGGTCTCAGACGATCTCGTGTCCGGGTGGCGGGTCTCAGACGATCTTGTGTCCGGGTGGCTGGTCTCAGACGATCTTGTGTCCGGGTGGCTGGTCTCAGACGATCTCGTGTCCGGGTGGCTGGTCTCAGACGATCTCGTGTCCGGGTGGCTGGTCTCTGACGATCTCGTGTCCGGGTGGCGGGTCTCAGACGATCTCGTGTCCGGGTGGCTGGTCTCTGACGATCTCGTGTCCGGGTGGCTGGTCTCTGACGATCTTGTGTCCGGGCGGCTGGTCTCTGACGATCTTGTGTCCGGGCGGCTGGGCTCAGACGATCCTGTGTCCGGGTGGGCTGGTCTCTGACGATCTTGTGTCCGGGTGGCTGGTCTCTGACGATCTTGTGTCCGGGTGGCTGGTCTCAGACGATCTTGTGTCCGGGTGGCTGGTCTCTGACGATCTTGTGTCCGGGTGGCTGGTCTCAGACGATCTTGTGTCCGGGTGGCTGGTCTCTGACGATCTTGTGTCCGGGTGGCTGGTCTCAGACGATCTTGTGTCCGGGTGGGCTGGTCTCTGACGATCTTGTGTCCGGGTGGCTGGTCTCTGACGATCTTGTGTCCGGGTGGCTGGTCTCAGACGATCTTGTGTCCGGGTGGCTGGTCTCTGACGATCTTGTGTCCGGGTGCTGGTCTCAGACGATCTTGTGTCCGGGTGGCTGGTCTCGAGACGATATTGTGTCCGGGTGGCTGGTCTCATGACGATCTTGTGTCCGGGTGGCTGGTCTCAGACGATCTTGTGTCCGGGTGGCTGGTCTCAGACGATCTTGTGTCCGGGTGGCTGGTCTCTGACGATCTTGTGTCCGGGTGGCTGGTCTCAGACGATCTTGTGTCCGGGTGGCTGGTCTCTGACGATCTTGTGTCCGGGTGGCTGGTCTCTGACGATCTTGTGTCCGGGTGGCTGGTCTCAGACGATCTTGTGTCCGGGTGGCTGGTCTCAGACGATATTGTGTCCGGGTGGCTGGTCTCAGACGATCTGTGTCCAGGTGGCTGGTCTCTGACGATCTTGTGTCCGGGTGGCTGGTCTCAGACGATCTTGGAGGTGAAGATGCTGATGTGGAGGTCCTGGGCTGGTGTGGTTACACGTGGTCTGCGGTCGTGAGGCCAGTTGGATGTACTCCCAAGTTCTCTGAAACGCCTTTGGAGACGCTTATGGTAGAGGTATGAACATTTAATTCACGGGCACCAGCTCTGGTGGACACTCCTGCAGTCAGCATGCCAATCGCAACGCTCCCTCAAAACTTGCGACATCTGAGGCATTGTGCTGGTGTGATAAAACTGCACATTTTAGAGTGGCCTTTTATTGTGGCCAGCCTAAGGCACACCTGTGCAATAATCATGCTGTCTAATCAGCATCTTGATATGCCACAACCTGTGAGGTGGATGGATTATCTCGGTAAAGGAGAAGTGCTCACTAACACAGGTTTAGACAGATTTGTGAACAATATTTGAGAGAAATAGGCCTTTTGTGTACATAGAAAAAGTCTTAGATCTTTGAGTTCAGCTCATGAAAAATGGGGGGCAAAAACAAAAGTGTTGAGTTATATTTTTTAACTGATTTTGTTCAGTGCATATATATATATAACATTCTCACTGACATTTGTCGAGACAAAGCAACTGTAAACATGCTTTTCAAAAAGGTAGAAAAGAAACATATGTTATTTTACTTTTTTTTAAAAGCTTGAAAGAAGGAAAAAAGCTGATATGGTCATTTATATATTTTGCATCACTGTTTAAACAGTCTGTGTGAAAAGTGTTGGGCCAACAGTGTATAGTGCAAGAAATAAAAACTCTTTCTGCCTGAACCTTCAGACTAAACAACAACAATCTGACGACAATTTAGACACTTGTGTAATACATAACTACAGCACTGTGACCCAGGCAAACACACACACACTCTCTCTCTCACACACACACACACACTAGGAGGAATGTAATTGGATCTCTCTTGTCCATTCAGTGTGACAGAACCAGTCTGTAAGCCAGACGCTCTCAGTGATTTACAGTAGTTTCAGTGTCGTCTCAGAAACCCTGCCGGATTATCCCTCGCTGAGCAGAAACTGAGCAGGACAAACACACCTCTGTTTAATATCTGCTCGCTGTAGCCATGAGAAAAACAACACAACAAAAGCAAAACGGAAGATGATTGCAACCTTGAAGTTTGTAAGGCTGTTAAAGCAGTCGTGGGTGTTTAACTATTCGTCCAAGAACAGGCCCACTTCAAGCACTGCTTGTATATATAAATCTAAGTTTATTAGGGTCGACTGATATAGATATACCAATGCTGATATCTTAGAGAGCAGCACCAATGAGTTTATATCTCGAGATTGTAAGTTTATATCTAAACTCGGAACTGTGAGAAAAAAAAGTTTCCTTTGTTTCAGTGTCCGGTATTGTTTGTTAAGCCTGGTTATTTCCTGAGCTTCCTATTAAAGACTCATTTTGTTATCCTTTGTGATAATGCGCTGACAATATTACATTTACTAAATTAAAAATAAATAATAATAAAAATCACTTTGAAAAAAATTAATAATTTGATCTGAAACTGACATCTGTAATATAAACTGATTTATACTTTAGATAGCAACTTTTTTTAATTCTTTAATCCAATTATAGAATCTAACAATAGTCAAAAAATAAATTGTTGAATTTACTAAAATTTGAAGAAGTAAACGCAGTAACTAACAGTGCACTCCGTAAGTCTGTGTCCATAAGAGTTCTGTCTAATAATTTACACAAACACAGTAAAGTACTGCAGATGAAGAAGATGAAGAGGATGAAGAAGATGAAGAATGGCAGTTCTGCTCCTGACACTTGTTGGCCAAACAGAGAAACTTGGCCATGGCAATATATTTTGTTACCACAGACTGCGCAGTAAAAGTCTTCATTTAACTGTTTACATCTATTTAACTTTTAACAATAATTTCCACATCTGTTACTTTTGTAGAACTATACCTTCTTTATTAATGATTACATGCAGAGTCATTGCTGAAGCTTGTAACTTTGGCACCATCTTGATTTCACCCAAAATTACCCAAAAAAACAACAACAACAAAAAAAACAGTCCAAGATGATAACCAGTGCATGATATCAGCCCATTCATTCAGTGTCAACAGCATTCAGACGATATGCTCTCAAAAGACCATCATGAGAAATTTTGATCAAACTAAGATCTCTTGTTTTGTTCTCCGTTAAATTTAATTTTTGTATGAGAATTATACAATACACAAATGAGATTTTAAAATCTTATTTATTAGATAGAGTTTTAAAAATAAACATCTATAAAAATATATAAGCAATGGTTAAAATACTCACAGAAGACACCATATATTATCTGAGTAAATCTATACAGTAAAGTGATCAGATTCTGTGAGACATTTTTCATAATACATCAATCAGTTTTAATGAGTTTGTTTTGCACTAGAAACTTAGCAAAATCCAGTGTTTCTAAGGAAACAAGCACACAGGAGTACACACAGGCGTACACACACACACACCACACACACACTACACACACACACACACGCACACAGAGTGTAACGAGTGGTTGATCTTACTTGTTGGTGTGTGTGGAGGTGTCCTGTAGATCTTCAGGATCGAACAGCTGCGATCCCTTCAAACCCAACTCCTCACAACCCTTCAGGAAGAGCGCCACATTATCCTAAACACACACACACACACGTGAGCGGATCCTGCATAGAACGCAGCGCCAGGACTAAATGCACACACACACACCGTTAAAGAGCAAAGAGGGGAGGCAAACCGACGCCAGTGGTTTTGGGCACTCACTGCCTGTGCCTCTCTCTCTCTCTCTCTCTCTCTCTCTCTCTCTCTCTCACTCCCTCTCTCGGCAAGCTTATACTGTTGATCGCACACTCTACCTCAGGTGCAGGAATCTCTCTCTCTCTCTTTCTCTCTCTCTCTCTCTCTCTCTCTCTCTCTCTCTCTCTCTCTCTCTCTCTCTCTCTCTCTCTCTCTCTCTCTCTCTCTCTCTCTCTCTCTCTCTCTCTCTCTCTCTTTCAGGTGACTCTGGGTCTTTTGTTGAAGTCTGCAACCTGAGCTGTGTTATCCGCTCTGTTCCTCTCTCCTCTGGTTCCCAGCTCCAGTGAAAGGCCCCGGACCCCTCCCTTCAGTCTCTCTCTCTCAAGCGGACCTGGAAGGGTGGCACAGTTTCCTGCCCCTAGTGATTGTTGTCACTCTGTTGTTTTGCAGGGACACAACTTTTTATCTCACGCCCATGTGTGTGTGTGTGTGAGAGAGAGAAAGAGAGAGAGAGAAAGAGAGAGAGAGAGAGAGAGAGAGAGAGAGAGAAAGAGAAAGAGAAAGAGAGAGAGAGCCCTGCCCCTTTCTACACAATAATAATATGCACATATAGACAAATTTCGATGTTGTCACAGTATGTTGCAGAAGTTTGCAGTACCGCTGCCCAGTCTGAGTCAAGGTTTTGTCAGCCGAACTCAAAGATTTAATTATTTAGTGCCTGCTGAGATTTTAAGTCTTGCAATATATTCAGTGGGTCCAAAAGTCTGAAACCACCTTGAAAATATGGGATTTTCATTTAAACCTGGAAACAAAGAAATATTTCAGATTCTGGACTATTTCTAGGTCACTGATTAAATAAGTATATAAATATATTTGTGCCATTGATCATGTGACTTTGTGCTGACGGATCGTTCTCAAATCATGTTTGGAGAACGTGATCATCAGGTTCTGTTCATATCACATAGTCATTAAAACAAAAAATGGACATACAAATACTATGTAATGAGTAGCTGTGGTGAATGAAGCACACGACGACGGGAGTCCGATAACAACAGTCTTTTAATATTACACTTAGGAAAACTCAGGAGAATCAGAATACACAGCCACTTTTATAAACGAGAACGGACAAAGGATAACTAATCAATCAGTAACTAAGGAGACTAATGAGAACTCAAACAGCCAGGAAAACAGGAAAATAACCAACAGAAACAGAGCATGAACGTGACATGCCCTCTGGAAGGCACGTCCTCACGCCGTGAGGTCCAGCTGAGGAGGGAGGGAGTGCGGGGGCTTTGGAGGAGGACGAGGAGCTGGCGAAGGGCTGGCCAATGATGGAGATACTAGCAGAAACAGCCAGTCGCACAGGCGGCGGGAGGAGCCAAGAGCAGGCCGACGAGAGCCCAGAGCTCCGCCTGGATGACATCCCACAGCAGGAGGAGCCATAGAGGTGGACTTGATGCCATGGGGACGATGGAGCCGATGGTGGAGGAGCCCAATGCACAGACGAAGACCTGGTGAAGATGGTAAAGAGCGAGATCGCAGGCCCCAGAGGCCGCGCTAATCTCCCGAGGTGGAGCCAGGTTGTGTCCGGTGTCCCGGAGCATAGGGGACGGCTCATAAGTCCGTGGCGTAGATGCGCGACATCCGACCTAGGTGGAGGCGGAGGATTGAGGTAGCTCGGTGAAGCCGAAAAGTCGATGGTCCCTGGTGGAGCTGAGGGAGGGAGGAGCGAAGGTGGAGGAGCCTGGACGACTGTTGCATGTGCATGTAGTTTGACTGGTTACTATTTCCTTTCCTAATGTTTTGTCTGCCCTCTAGTGGTTGGAAGTGTGTATTATGTGTATTATTAGGAGCAGATTCTCTACACCTGTGGACCGTGTAAGAGGAGCATGGATATAAGGAGCCCCGTTGTTACATCTGGGAGGCGGGATTGGTGCGTCGGTTGAGTGGCGCTGGTTTTCTGTTTTCCCTATTCCTTTTCTCCCCAAACTTTATGTTATGATTATTGTTTGTTAATAAAAACCCCATTGGACCGAGCCTTCCGTGTTGACCCTCTTTTGTGTTATGGCAAGGGCCGTAACAAGGACGGGCCGAGGTTGAGCGGCAGAAACAGCGTCTGGAGGCAGAGCCAGTGGATCCATACATTCAGACGGTGCTGGTAAACGGCCGGCCCGAGGTTAATCCACACAACATAGAGGAGTTAGTGGAGAAGCCGAGGGGCTGACGGGGGAACTGATCAGAGGGACAAGCTGAGGTCTGAAGAGGAGGCAGGAGAGGGAGGCTGGGAGGGCATCCTGGAAGCACAGGAGAACTACTGGAACCAGCGGGGCAAGGGGACATCCTCTTCAAACACACACAAGAAAACTGTCCACAGTCCATCAGCAACTCACTCTCTGAGGCGGGAGTGTGGGTAGGGCTCCTATCCAATTGCTCGTACACCACAATAACTCCCTCGAGGACGGGCAAAGTTGCCGGCACAGACGTGTGTTTTGAGGCTCGGGCTCCAGGGCTCAGGCTGGCTCAGTCAGGTTCTCTGGCTCTTGATGGCTGGTTGGGCTCTGGGTCGCGGGCTGTAAGGGGAAGTCCTCTCAGCCCAAATACTCCATCAAATTCCTCGTTTCGGGGAGGAGGGTCACCGCTGGTAAGTCCATTTTGATATTTTAAATATACTCAATATGAGTGTCCGTTCTTCTGTAATGGGTAGCTGTGGCGAATTAATCACACGTCGCACGTTGGGAATATGATAACAACAGTCTTTTAATATAACACTTAGGAGAACTGTAGAATACTGCGCCCTGCTGTACAGAAGCTCACTGCACAGAACAGCTGATCACAAGCCAGCAGCCGTATCACCCTGTAGCCCAAGACTGGTTCCCCTCTGAAGCTAAGCAGGGGTGAGCCTGGTCAGTACCTGGATGGGAGACTCTTGGGAAAACTAGGTTTCTGCTGGTTTCTGCTATCCCTGTGCTCTGTGTGGGTCCTAACGCCCCAGTATTGTGACGGGGACACTATACTGTCAAAAAGCACCATCCTTCAGATGAGATGTTAAACCGAGGTCCTGACTCTCTGTGGTCATTAAAAATCCCAGGATGACCTAGGGGTGTAACCCCGGTGTCCTGGCCAAACTTGCCCCTTGGCCTCTGTCCATCATGGCCTCCTAATCATCCCCATATATATATACTGATTGGCTTCATCACTCTGTCTCCTCTCCACCAGTAAGCTGGTGTGTGTGTGTGTGTGTGTGTGTGGTGGGCGAGCTGGCGCAGTACGGCTGCTGTCGCATCATCCAGGTGGAGCTGCACACTGGTGGTGGTTTAGGAGATTCCCCCCAGTAGAGTTGTGGCACTATCACTTTAAATATCGGTATTGATGTTAACGTCACTGTGGCGACCCCTGTTAAAGGAAGCGGGTAACACAAATAAAACCAGTCTAGTGTCTACACTCACACGAGCTGCATGTGTATTACTCGACACTCCACACCCCCCCCCCTTCTATGTAAAGCACTTTGAGTACCCATAAAAGCACTATATAAATGTAACAAATTGTTATTATTATAAGCTTGTTATCATTAGATTTCAACAGAATAGACAGTTAGTTCTGAACAAAAGAAGATGTTTCACTTCTCCAAATAAATCTAAGAGACAAAGAGACATAAAGACACACAAAACATTGACACACACACACATGACAAACATACAGCACACAACAGATATCCCAGTCTCAGGAATGAACACAGATCCCTGCACTACCAACAGCCGCTGCTCGCTGTCATCTTCGGGGATCTAGGAATCACATTAGTCTTTCAGAGCCAGATATTTGACGATCAGCAAGCCAAGAAAAGCCTCTCCAACTCATAAACAAATGCAGAGACTAATCCTTCCCTGGAAGTGCTCACTGGAGCCAGTTTCTAGACAAATACACCACTTTGTGTCCTGCTGGAATTATAAAAACCTGTTCACCCTGATCCCGGATGGTGTGCAGCAGCCAAACACAATCTAAAACTTTAAAAACACAAGTTCCCTTTCGAGGGAACTCCAACTGCGTCGAATGACACTTTGGGGGAACGCCCCTCAGCGTAGCGCCTCTGAAGTATGAATGAAACTGAGCCGATCTCTGATTGGTGCAACGTCATGATGTGATGTGTGACGGCACATAGGCGGAAGCTATAAAGGCAGCCGGCACACATAAGATGTCAGCTTTCTGTTCTTCAGCAAGCGCTCTATGTCAAACTGTCAGTCTTATTTGGTGTTGTTTGTCCCATAAGAATTGTCCTAAATTATTGCAATATGGAATCTAGTGGCTCGGATCTCGCGTTTGCCGAGGCAGCGTGTAGATTACGGGTCTACTCAGCAATAAAGATTCTGTGACTGAGATCTCGCGTTTGCCGAGGCAGCGCGTAGATTAAAGGTCTGCATAGCAATTCAGAATCTAGTGGCTCGGATCTCGGGTTTGCCGAGGCAGCGTGTAGACGGGTCTACTTTTGCAATAAAGATTCTGTGACTGGGATCGCGCGTTTGCCGAGGCAGCGCGTAGATTTAAGGTCTGCATTGCAATACATAATCTATAGTGGCTCGGATCTCGCGTTTGCCGAGGCAGCGTGTAGATTACGAGTCTACTTTGCAATTAGATTCTGTGACTGGGATCTCGCGTTTGCCGAGGCAGCGCGTAGATTTAAGGTCTGCATTGCAATAAAGAATCTAGTGACTCGGATCTCGCGTTTGTTGAGGCAGCGCGTAGATTCGGTCTACTCTGCAATAAAGATTCTGTGACTGGGATCTCGCGTTTGCCGAGGCAGCGCGTAGATTTAAGGTCTGCATTGCAATAAAGAATCTATAGTGACTCGGATCTCGCGTTTGTCGAGGCAGCGCGTAGATTCGGTCTACTCTGCAATAAAGATTC